GCCCGGGCCGTGTCAGCACTGGGACCGAATGATGGTGTGACGCTAAGCAGTACGATGCAGAACTAAGCGGCACCGAACCTGAAGTGATTCAACCCAGAGCCCGAGGACATAACGGCCGCGTCAGCCACGAGATTTAGCCATGGGAACGTCGGCCGAGTAACGTCGGTCTTAGTATTGGGACAACTCACTGGCGACGCTGCTGGATCTGACTATCCAGTAGTGTCGCCCGGGCCGTGTCAGCACTGGGACCGAATGATGGTGTGGCGACCGAAGGAGGAGAAGTCGAGCGACAAACGCGCGGAGGCAGTGCTGCTGGCCGCGCTGCGGCACCGGCTGGAGAGGACGGGACCGTGTAACAAGCCCGAGGCGGTGGACTCGTTGTATTGCGAAGTCTTTGGCGAACACTTACACGGGCTGGACGGGCTGCAAGGTAATGGCGACGGGTACGAGATGTAGAACGACGGTGACCTGACGTGATTCAGATTCGGGGACCCCGCGAACAACTGTTATTCCAACGAACCCCTCAGGGACAGCCCCGATGGTGCTGGCACCCTACGACAGCGGCACTCTCTTCTGCGGCAACAAGCAAAACGTGTCTACCATCGACTTCTGCCGGAACTTCGGCCGCCCCTGGTGCGAGCTCTTTTCGCAGGCTTGGAACATTTCCCAAAGACTCGGGTTCGAAGAATGCGGCGTCATCTGCCATACCCCCCAAGAAACAAGGTGCGCCATCGCCACCCGGCTCCTCGAACGCTTCCCCCTTCAAGACCTCAATACGTGGATCCCGAACCTACCACGGGCCGACCGGGGGGACGTCCCGACCTTGTTGCGTGAGGAGCAAATCCAGCCAATCTTCGCTGCATTCATTCGCGACCCGGACTGCTCAGGCTCGGTCTCGCCATGGCGAGAACTCGACAGGCTCGGACGTTGCTTCTGCGACCGTGCAAACATCATCTGTGACGTGCACCACGAAAGCTTGACCACTGGGGCTACAGCCTCTGACATGGCAACATACGTCCCCTACTCCTTCGCCATCTACCCGGAAGAAGACTACCCAGAACAAGACCATCAGGTCGGCAACTGTGACCCCCCGACTTGTCCACCTCCTTCGCCCCCTATGTGGAACAAGGCTCCTTGAGCGACGATCCTTAATAAGCCCGTACGCCGAAAAGATTGTACGAGCAAACGAGCTGCAGACCAGACGCAAGTTTTTGGTTTTAGAAAAGAAGCTTTGAAATGGGAAAAAAAACGCGGCCTGGTTTAACGGGGCGTTCGATAGGGGGTCAGGCCGGGCTGGGCTAGGGTGGGTTAAAAACCATAGCACCCGAAGGGAGGACGTAACGAAGGTGAACTTATCTTTGGGGAGAAAGTCACATTCCTTGCTCCCCATTCCTTGGTTGGGTAGTCGGCCAGGACTGTAGGACAGAGAAGCGTCCGTGGTCGTTGATGAATGATCGTGGTCGACAGTCGCGTGTGACTCGGTCTCCCACTGCTCGTCGTAAAGTAATTCATGGTTGGTCGACGTAAAGTATTTCATGGTTGGCCACTGGTCGACGGTGTCTTTGTCGCGGTGATTTGTTGGTATGCGTCCGTGGCAAGAGGCGAGTGTTAGAATGGCAACGGACTTCAGCGCGTTGACAAATCGTCTCAGCGCCCGTTCCTAGTCACTTCAGTCCAGCCTGTTGCGGCTTCAGCGGGCCTGATACTTCGGCGTCGGGCGCCTGGAGTTGAAGGATGGCCCAGGACCCGACCATCGTCGTGCTCACCAACTCGTCACGCAGTACTCCAGCGGTAGCACCCGTGAGTACAGTTGTTGACGTCGTATTCCTCTTCGGGGTAGTCGGCGAAGGAGTCAAGCACCCGGGTCAGCGGCGCGTCCAGGTCGGTGAAAGTGACATCATGCGACGTGTTGTCGCGCTTCACCATCAACCCGCAGGTGACGTGGGCTAGGTGGCAGTGGCAATCGTGGAGGTTGCTGAGTTCTTGCCGCGACCCACCCGAGCCTGAGCACTTCGGGTCGAGAGTCAGCAAAACTTGTGGCACCTGATCCTCTCGCGGCGGGGACGCGACGATCAAATTCTTCAGGAGCCTTGCTTGGTCCGGGAACTGTGCGAGAAGCCTTCTGACGAGGTTGCTGTCTACTTCTTCGGGGGTATGGCAGAATATGCTGCACTTGTCGAATGGGATCAGAGCGGTGTTGTTCCAGACCCTGGGGAAGGAGTAGGGCCAGGGGCTACCGAACTCACTGCAGTACTTACCGACGTTCAGCTTGTTGCAGAACAGAGTCCCGCTGCCGCAGGGTTCCGTCGGCACGGGTTCGCCCAACCTCCAGGATCGATTAAGGCGGTCCATACTGAGGGCGCTCGGCAGGCCATAGCGCACCGGGCAACTCGGCGGCGTCACCGGCGGCGTCACCGGCGGCGTTCCCGTCCACCAGTTGTACCCGAAATGTGCGGCTTGCGAGACCAGGATAGGAGAGAGGATGACAACGGGAACAAACCACCACGGTGCTTGCCCCAACCACGACCGCGCGACCTCCACGTCCTTCCAGCCTTCAGTCTTCCACACCACCGCCCTTCGTAAAGCCGGTCTAAAGTCTACGGGCACCTGCGTCAAGAGCTCCTTCAACTCCGAAGGCTCCACCGGCCGAGTTAAGGCAACCGAGACGTCGTCCCCGTCGCCGTCAAGACGCTGCATCTCGCCCTCGCCCTCGCCCTCTTCCTCCAGGATGCGGTACAGCTCGTCCACGCCGTCAAAGACCTCGGCACACAGTGCGTCCACGGCATCGGTCGCCATTTGGTTATCCTGCGCCACGCTTCGCTCCAGCCGTCGCCGCAGAGCACCCAGCAGCACCGCCTCCGCACGTTTGTCACTGGGCGGCCCCTCCTTCGATCGCAACACCACCATCCGGTCCCAGTGCTCGAACCAGTCGTAGTCCTCGCCCTCCGCCACCACCGTCTCCACCGCCAGCTCGCTGGCAGGGTCCAACTCCACCTCAAACGCTGTCTTGGGCGCCAACACCAAAGCCGTCACATCACCACTACCCACGCGCATCGTCACCACCTGTGCCACACTCTCGTCCAACTCCGGCCGGCTGGCGTTCCGACACATCAACACCGACAACAACTCACTCCCATGCACGCCACTCACCTCACTCGTCAACGTTCGCATTTTAGACGAAGCCAAAAAAGGGAGGAGGGGAAAAATCCTGCCGTCTAGAGACGTAACGATCTCAGGTGGCCTAGCAGCAAGACAGCGTTGACAGAGGGCGGGCACTGGGTCACCAGGACGGGAGTAGCCCAGCGGGACGGGCAGTGGGATCACCCGAACTGCGGGATCATCCCGACTACGAAGTTTATAGCTAGCTTACGAGCACCTGCCGGCCTTTTGTTTCCTGTTGTAGTTGCCGGCAGTAGTAGTAATGATCCTGGTTGGCGTCTGGTACGGCTAATGCGTATCGGTAGTATTGTGAAGTGATGTTTGACCCAATCAGTTTTAAACCGGAGATGGTCCATCTGATGTGCGCACCACCCAGCTGCAGTTCTTCATAGATGCGGGGGCCGAAGCCGGTCTAAGATGCCGGAGCCTTAGCTAAGATAGCGCTGCACCCCACTTCGTGCCCTACTGGTACCAGGATTCGAGTGTCTCGGATCCGGTCCAGTCCCTGTAGCACATGTCCGTAGCACGCGTGTGTGCGTGTGCGATTTTTTTTGTGGATTTTGGTAGGTGGGAAATGCGCACGTTCAAGAGTGGGTGGGGTGGTGTGAAGGGAAGTGGGTTGTTGTCCGTGTTAACGCGTTTGGATGGTAGCCGCCCGGGTGTGGAAGGATGTGTTGCGCGTATAGTGCGACTTAAGGTGGAAAGTGGTGAGTTGACGGCATTGGCGCTGGGTCCTAGAGAGGAGTTTGAGTTGACGCGGTTTACCGATGAGGGTAAGGCGTATACTGTGCAGAAAGGGCCTTGGTGTTACGACTGCTTTGAGAGTTGGAATCGGATGATGGTGTTGCGACCGGAGGATGGGTCTACGACTGACGCGGAGGTGACGCTTCTCCGTGCATGGAAAACACGGTTGTCTCACGAGCCGCCCGGGGCGGTGAAGGCGCTGTTTGCCGAGATCTTTGGCGAAAGCTTGCACGAGTTGCGTGACCCCCGCAGCGACCCGGACTTCGGAATACATGGGTACGAAGTGTATCCTCTTGTTAGGGGTGTGGATGGGATCGTCGTGCTCGAGACGCGGCTGCTATACCGGTCGGAGTTGAAAGAATTACTCCAACGGGTTCCCAAGGACTGGAGACCGGTCATGCGAAAGTCTGTGGGCTCACGACCACGTGACCCAGCAGTCGTGAAGGCCGCCAAGAAAACATTGAAACGACGGGCGTACACAGCCATGGGCGTACTCGCCACGCTGGGTATGATTGGATTCGGGGCTTACTGGTTCTGGCCGGAGAAACGGGACAGGCTGCCGGGAGACGGTCTGATATGGCCGGGAGGAACGGAGGCCTGCCCCCAGCTAGGCGCCAACCGGACCGCTGTCTGGTTCTCCGGTGAACCCATGCTCATCTCAACCTGTGGCAGCGGCACCATCGTCTGCGGCAACGGTTCCAGCAGCACAGAGTGCAGCGAATTCGGTAATCCCTGGCCCGTCTCCTACCCCTCGATCTGGAACACCGTTCATGAGATTCCACACGAAAAATGCGAAGTGCTGTGCCGTAGCCCCCAAGAAGTAGACAGCACACTTACCATGCGACTGTTCCACCATTTCTTGTTCCGTCCGCCATTCAACAGGATGTACGGCCCGCCAATGTCGCCCGAGACGCAAGTCCAACACCTCCTCGAGGCATTTACTCTCGACCCCAACTGCTCAGGCTCGGCCCCGTCGTGGCAAGAAATTCGCAACCTCCCGAACTGCAAGTGCAACATAGCCAATGTAACCTGCGAGGTGATGCCCCAACAAAACACAGCAATGATGCACAATGCAACACTCACTGACTTGGAGGTTAACCTGGCAGCAGTATCAGACTCATTTGATGATTATTCAAAAGAAGATTACGCCACCAAGTCCTGCCATTACGAATGCCGCAAACTGAATGCCGCAAACTGAATGCCGCAAACTGAATGCCGCAAACTGAATGCCGCAAACTGAATGCCGCAAACTGAATGCCGCAAACTGAATGCCGCAAACTGAACATCAGAAGACCCCCTGCCGTGCCTGTTTGTCTCATTTTGGTTAACGGTCATGATGGGGGGGGGGGTTAACGGCCTGTTTGTTCTCCTCTATCAGTGAGCGACATCGCTGGGGAGCGGAACGGAACATACGTCGACGCTTGGCACGCTGGAAGTTGCTGCCCACTCCCGTGGTGCACGGCTACGTCACGGAGAACGAAGCGGTGGCGAAGACTGCACTGCCCACGGCCGACGCAAGTGCCCGCGGACACCACCTGTGTGAGCTATGGTTGGCAGCCGGACTACATGCGACTTGACCACGGTTATGACGAGTTCGAAATTATGACACACCACTCGTTTAGGGTATCAAGAGACGGCACAAGAGAGGCCCACGGTTGTCACGGGTACGTCGCCGGGGTGTTGTCGGAAGTCCGTGTGGTCTTCCGCAACACCCCGTACCCATTCACGCTTCTGGAACCATTGGTCACTCCGATAATCTCACCAGAATTATGGACAAAACAGCGGCAGGTTTTTTTTTTAACCAACAACAAAACCTGGACCGTCATTTTGTTATGTCTCGCCCAGGGTTCCGACTGGTGAGCTGGTTGTGACCCGAGGACTGAACGGGGAGGGGGTGTGGAGGGTTCACTCAGGTCATACCTCTCGTGATCGTTTTTTTCCACAAAACCCAAGGCAGCATTGCACTGGACTCCGCAGCCACGCTAGACCTGCAATTCTTCAAACCAGTCGAAGTTGTGACGGACGACCATCGGAATCTGTTCAGACCCTTTCGAATCCTCAGCCAAGTACTCCTTACTCTGCAACATATCAAACACGTCCGGCGGTGCCGCCGCCACCGCATACGCGACCGCGCTCTGCTCTGTTATAAAGTACACCATGCGGGGCACACACCCCGCCAATAACGCACTCGCTTCCGCGTAACTCGACGTCCGCAACGTCGCCAAACAGCGCCTAACCTGCATCAGAAGGAGACGCACGGCTATCGGCTTTCTCAGGGGGTAACCTACTCTCAACTGGACTGTCCATCGTCGGCCCGATACGGTTCCAAAAGCGACAGTGCCACCTCTTCACCTGCGTCGATCACCTTTACGTTAACTCCACTCGCTAGGAACAACAGAATAGCAAGAAGGCAGAGAGTTTTGAAGCAGGTTGAAGTGAGAAGCCATGCCGTTCTGGTCTTGTTATCTCTTCTTGGTATTTTGGTCCCCTGGTCCGTTAAGCGCCGATACGTTGCGCTCCGAGCTTTAGCTAGCAAGAGTCCATCTGACCGCCCAACTAGTGTACTATTCTCCGTCTCCCCCTCTCTCTCTACTCTTCGCGCCTGAGTGTCATACCCTTATACCGTCTTAAACCCTTTCTTTCTCCCACCACGGAGACCTCCCACTTGATTTAGCAGAATGCGATACCTTCAGGAGGCAGACAGGAATCTTTCACTCTCAGCCAGATCGAGAAGCGCATCAACCCACCATTGTCCGTCAGTCAGAGGCAGGGCAAACGCACGCTACTCCCGCTCGACAACACGAACGCCGCGGCCAAAAATTCCATGAGGATCGACGAGCGATCTCTCTTGACAACACGGTAAGCTGGCTAACGGCTGCTGGCGTGCTGGTTCACAACAGCCAAGTGAGTCCCCTTGACATAAGATCGCTAAAAGAAAGAACTCCCCAATCATAACTTGCTCCCCGACTACTTTCCCGATCACTTCCCGACCAGTTCCCCGACCACTCGGCAGCCGTCCAAGCAGTAACCCAGTCATGCCGTCGAACATAAACACAGCCCCGTATCAGACTTGGTCAGATCAAAGTCAACAGAGGACTGGCCTGTCCGAAAGGGCATTGATACAAAGTGCTGGAGCCCTAGCCCAGAGGGTCTGAGGATTTGCATCCCGGAGAGCCTTTCCCTGCCGCGCCCTAGGACACGGCTAAATGGTGCAGAGACAGCGACGCTTTCTGAGTGGACGCAAGGCCTATTAGCTCAAGGGAAGCTGGAATAATGCGCCAGACCAAAAGCGGTTCTGCAGCGGGTGGTTGTCGGAGATCTTGATGCGCAACGCCAGTGAAAAGAGGACTCAGAATGGCCTGCTGCAACAGCATGTCCGGAGCCATAATTCCTGCAATCTCGTCAGGTCGTGGAAGGTTGGCACCTCCTCCGGCGTCGGGTTCCAGCGCTATCGGAGCCAGCGGCAGATGACGGGCGGGCAAAGGAGATGCGCCAAGTGCGGCCGTAAGGGACACTGGTCTGGGATGTGCCCAAGACCTTACCCCACGGATGAGGATGCGCCTCTGAAGGCATTCGTGAGGGAGGTGAAGGCAAGATCCTACTGCAAGTCCGCGGCGCGGACTTGGACCGACTATCTAAAGACGGTGCAGAAGTTCGTGAACACAGAGCTAAGCGCCAACAAGAAGAAGAAGGGCCAGGCGGCGCCGGCAGAGGATGTGGGCATGCCGGTGGCTGAAGTCGGACGTCCCGCCCGCTGGACGTCCCGCCCGCTGGACCTGCTCGAGGACCCCGGGTTCGAGTCTGTAGTGTCGCTACCTGTGCCACCATGATTAGTTCCTGTCAGTTCAATGTCAGTTCCCCGTAAGTCGGTTGTATTGCTTGTGTATCGTTTATTCCCGAAAGCCCAAGGCAGACCGAGTACTGTGCACGCCACTCCCCGACGTCAAACGCGGAGTGCGCGGGTGTCCAAACTGTCGGGCCGTAGTGTCTGCCGGTGAGGTTCCCATGAAGATAGTGGGCAGAAAGATGGTACGACAGAGTAATTGGTAGTTGGTTGTGCGCGTCGTAATGACTGGGCACAGAACCGGAAGAGACAGGGAGGAATACACAGTCGAGTTTCGCGGAAGCGGGTGCGTTATTCGCGGTGCTCCTGAGGCCGGATGGCACCAGGCCGGACACGGCGGGGTGTGTGCCCCATGGTGTACTTTATAACAGAGCAGGGCGCGGTGGCGTATGCGGTGGCGGCGGCACCGCCGGACGCGTTTGATATGTTGCAGAGTAAGGAGTACTTGGCTGAGGATTCGGAAGGGTCTGAAAAGATTCCGATGGTCGTCCGTCACAACTTCGACTGGTTTGAAGAATTCAAGCGACTGAAGTTCTATTTGCCAGGAGAGTCGTCGGGGGTGCCAGACCCCGAGGCGGCAGACCCTGAGGCGGCAGACCCCGAGGCGACAGATCCTGAGGTGGCAGACCTCGAGGGTCCGATGTCGCAGGTGGAAGGCATTGTGTTTGGCCAGCTGATGAAGCGACTGACTAGGTTGGGGTTGGACACCACTCAGCCCGAGGGCTGCGACGATCTCGTTCGCGAAATTTTCGGAGCGCGACCCATCGAACTATTGGAACGAGACACCGGCGGCGACGAAGTCTCCCTCGTCTACTCGGGCGAGCTGAAGCCGGAGGAGGTCCAGAACTTCTTGAAGCACTCATCCAAAGAGTGGAGGACTCTCTTCGACCCCCGCCCCTCCCCTCCCTCCTGTTACGCCCCTATTTCCTGTGGCCTGCCGTCGCCGTCGGCTTCACCGCGGGCACCATGGCCTTGTACTGGGCCGTCAAGATGCTGCGCCATCACTACAATGAAACAGCCCCCATAATGTTCAGTCTGGACAACACTACCGCCAACACCCCCCTTAGCTTTCCCACTTCTGGTGCACCAACCACGACCTTTGTGCCCGACAGTGAGCTGGTCAGGCTGAAGGAGCCGTGGGAGGCGTGTTTCAAGGGAGGAGTTACGAACTGCGAACGCAGCCCGTCCGAGGCTAGCGACATGTGCGGCCGCGACGAGGGTGCCTTTATGTGCTCCGTGAATCGGGGCACTCCTCACTGCTACAGGTACGGAGGAGCAACCGGGATCGACTTTACCAGGCTTCAACGACGGCTTGTATCAAACGCGGAGGAGTGCGTGTTGAGAACCGTTTGCGATGATGACTACAAGCTTTCAAAAACGTTATCAGAAACGTGACCGGCTTCGTGCAAACACCCTTGGTTGCCAGCCTGTTTTCATACAGATGCCAGTTCTTATTTTAACCTCTGGTGAGGGAAAGCCACACACCCTTCAAACGTCTGAGGCATAACACTTTTCTTTCTTTGGGGGGGAGAACAAGAGACAGGGGGAGGTGACTAGAAATGAGAAGCCATGCCGTTCTGTTTTTGTTATCTCTTCTTGGTCCCCTGGTGTGTTAAGCGCCGATACGTTGCGCTCCGAGCTTTAGACCATTTAACCTTCCCACAAGACACCTTCCCACAAGACACCTTAACCAAGTTCAGAGAACACCACACCGAAGCTCTCGATTACCTTCCTGTTACTGAAAGATGTATCGTCGAATACCTGAAGACGCACTTTGCTTTAGCAACATGCTGCCAATGGTATTTTTTTGTATCAGACATGGTATTACGTTTTACATTAAGCTATTCCCACTGTAGCGACAACTACATCATACTAAGGATAAGGATCCAGGTTGATAAGGTTAAATGGATCCAGCTGGAGAAAGCTAACTACTGGATACCTTAACTACACCCAACGTTACGTCTGAAGACGTTATGGTTACCGAACCCGAAAGTGCCACTAACCCCACGGACCTTCCGTGGCAAAACCACCGCCGCGCTTTTTTGAGGGCCTCGTCCGAAAAAAATGCTTACGGTCGAGGGCTAGGCGTTCAGAGTTGTTGTCGGTGTTGATGCATCCGAACGGTAGTCGACCGGAGTTGGAGGAGAGTGTGGCGCAGGTGGTTGCACGGGTGGTGGCGGCGAAGAGCGCGTTTGAGATAGAGTTGGGAGGGGAGGAGACGACCATGGTGGAGGCGAGAACTACGACTGGTTCGAGCACTGGGACCGAATGATGGTGTGGCGTCCCAAGGAGGGACCGCCGAGCGACAACAAACGCGCGGAGCCGTGCTGCAACACCGGCTGGATAGGAGTGGATCTTGGAACAAGCCCGAGGCGGTGGACTCGTTGTGTCACGAAGTCTTTGGCGAGCAGTTCCACGAGCTGGACGAGCTGCAAGGCAATGGCGACGGGTACGGGATGCAGCGTCTGGACGAGGGTGACGACGTCTCGGTTGCCCTCACGTGGCCGGTGGACGCTTCGGAGCTCTTGGGGCGGGTGCCCCAAGACTGGAGGGCGGCTCTGCTAAGGCCGGTGGCATGGAAAGCTGAAGACTGGCTCCGCTAAGGCCGGCGGCTGAGAAACGACAGCGGGGACGTGGAGGGCGCGGCCCCGCAAGTTCTACTCAGAATATTGGCTCGTAGGCGCTCTCACCCTTGGCCTCACCGGGTACTGGATTTGGTCCTTTTTTATGAGCGATCCAGTGAGGGGCCCAGTGAGCCGAGATGCCCGCAATTCGGGGACCCGCGAACAATGAATCGCTCCGGGACAGCCCCTGTGCCACTGGCACTCTGCGGAAGCGGCACTCTCTTCTGCGGCGATACACCAGGCGTCGATCACGAATACGTCGATCACGAATACGTCGATCACGAATACGTCGATCACGAGCCTGCCACCGGCCGACAGGACGGGCGTCCTGACCTTGTTGCTGCGTGAGGAGCATTCATTCGCCACCCCGGCTGCTCAGGCTCGTCCCGGCCGTGGCGAGAACTCCACAAGGTCAGGCATTGCTTCTGCGAAAAAGTGGACATCACCTGTGGCGTGCACAACGAAAGCTTGATCACTCGGACTACAGCCTCCGGCGTGAGAACGTACCTCCCCGACTTGTCGCCCTCTACCCGGAACAGGCCTACAAGATCGGCAACTGTAGCTAGGAGTGTTCCTTCTTAAGCTCAAACGCCGAAGAGATTGTACGAGCAAACAAGGAAGAGGAAGTCCGGAAGCACGCAGCGGTGAATTAATTCACCCAGCAAGAGTTAAATCTTCCTGTAAGAAGCGGCCGATCACGGCCCGTCCGTTAGACGTGCATGCGGTCGGGGTAAAGCCAGGGCATGGTTGCGTCATCTGACAGGGCGGAGCTGCAGGTCGAGAGGACAGCTCTTTGGTTTCAGAAAAGGGGCTTTGAAATGGTTGTTGGGACGCGTCCACTCAACTCGACGTACTCCCGTAACAGTTCACCGGACGCCGCCCCAAAAAGCTTCCCGCGTCCGAACGGCAGCCGACCGGAGTCGGACGATTGTGTGGCGCAGGTGGAGATGATCCGGTGATGTGACGGCTTCGGTGTTGGGACGCTCCCAAGCGGGTGGTGGACATTGGTGGTGGGGGAGTCGGCGGGGGGCCGCCGCTGTTGTCCGGTGGCGTCCTGACGTCGGTAAACACAGCGACCACCGATACCGTCTCTTTCTCTTATTAATGAAGACGGTATCGGTGACTTGAGGTGAGGGTATGACACCCAGGGTCGCGAGGAAGACAATACCGTGGTATGTGATTTTCGCTAAAGCTCGGAGCGTACTGGTGCTCAACACACCATCAGCCAAGAAGAGATAACAAAAACAGAACGGCATGGTTTCTCATTTCTAGTTACTTCAAAACTCTCTTTGTCTCTTATTCTCATTTTCCAAAGAAAGGAATGTGTTGGCTGATGTTATGTCTCTGGCCGGTTGAAGGGTGTGCGGACTTCATTCGATTTCTACCGCTTTTCCTCACCATTCGGCATTGAACTGGTTATCTAGTTGGCGAGGCTGATCGCGACTGGGCGCGTCATTTTCTAGGTCGTGAGTGCGTGTCCTAAGCTTACTTTGGTCGGTCGCATTGCTGTTGCCCCTGATGACCTTTAGTTTTTATCCCTCGGAGATGCACGCGTCGAAAAGTGAGGCAAGTGGCGTGCTAAGGAGCAGTGGGTTGCTGTCGGTGTTGCTGCACCCAGACGGCAGCCAGCCGGGTCTGGGCGGTTCTGTGGCACAGGTGGTAAGGATGTGCTCGGCTGGCGGCGAGGTGACGGTTTTGGTGTTGGCGCCCAAGAAGGCGTTTGAGGTGGAGTGGGGCACCACCAATGGACGGGCTATTGACGACAGTACGCCATTGATGATGGAGATGACGACTGGGGAAGGCGAGAACTACGACTGGTTCCAGCAGTGGGACCGGATGATGGTTTTGCGTCGTTCGGAAGTTCCTAGCGACAAACGCGCGGAAGCGGTGCTGCTGGCCGCATTGCGGCGTCATCTGGAGCGCAATGGGCCGTGGAACAAGCCTGAGGCGGTGGAAGCACTCTGTCACCAGGTCTTTGGTGAACGCCTGCCGGACCTGGACGCCATCCCCAGCGAGATCGGCGGAATGAGTCCAGACGGGTACGAGATGCAGCGTCAGGACATGGCGGACGACGTCTCGGTGGCCTTGGCGCGGCCGGTATACGTGTCGGAGCTGAACGAGCTCTTGCCACAGGTGCTCGAGGACGAGAGGCAGGCAGTCCTACGGTCGGCCGTGGGCGAGCCTATTGACTGGAACGACGGGGATTTCGTCGGTGGGGACTTGGAGGCCGCAGCAAGGACGAAGCCCAAGTGCGCAGCGAGCTGTTGTTTATACACGACCGGGGCTGTCCTGGGGCTGGTCCTGACGGCGGGCTCCCTTGGGATCGCGGCGCACCAGCTGTGGCCGGACGCCGCCTTCTGGTCGAACGTCTCCTTCTGGTTGAAAGCCTCCTTCTGGCCGCAGTGGAATAAGCAGCCGGCGGAAGCGGGAGCTTGCCCGCGGTTCGGCGACCACGAGGCCGCGGTCGTCTGGTCGTCCGGTGAACCCGCGCTCGAGGAGCCCTGCGGCAGCGGCACCCTGCTGTGCGGCAACGACTCCATGACCACGGAGTGCAATGACTTTGGCAACCCCTGGCCCGTGTCCTTCCCGACCGTCTGGAACACCTCTCGTGAGTTCCGCCACCAGAAGTGCGAAGTGTTCTGCCACACCCCAGAACAGACATACAGCTCTCTAGTCACACGACTTCTCGCACACTTCCTCCTACAACCCTCCTCGTCCAATACCACACCCGATGCAACACCATCAGCCAATACGGCGTCTAACACGACGTCCAACGCGTGGCTGTCCAGCAGCACCATGACCATGTCGCGTGAAGAACAAGTCCAACAAATCTTCGGTGTACTCAGGTACTCTGGTGGATGCATGGGCGCAAGCGCTTCGTGGCGTTCACTCAGTGGCGTCACGACCTGCAACTGCGCCGTAGTTAATGTCACCTGCCCAGTGATGCTCAAAAGCAACCGGGCAATGCACGATGTGACCGTCACTGACTTTGAAACTTCTCTGGCCCAGTTGTCCGGCTCCTTCGCTAACTACCCGGAAGACGTCTACGAAGTCAAGCGATGCAGTTACGAGTGTTGGAACTTAAGTACAGAGGCCAAAGAGATCCTACGTGTAAATCAACATAGAGATTCCAGACGCCCAGCCTTAGCGAATGACCATAGATCATCCGTCATCAACAACAGGTCACCCTCTAGTACGAATACAATTAAAAGCTCCAGCACCAGTATAAGTACTAGTGCCCCCACCAGCAAGAGTACCAGTACATCCACCAGTATTAGTACATCCACCAGTTCGCCAAAGAGTACGAGCACCAGTCCCGCCACCAGTACGAGCACTAGTACGTCCACCAGTCCGAGTACCAGTGCAACCGCTAGCAAGCGTCCCCGTGCAACCGCTAGCAAGCGTCCCCGTGCAACCACTAGCAGGCGTCCCCGTGCAACCGCTAGCAAGCGTCCCCGCGCAGGTCCCCGCAAGCGTGCGAGTGCGTCCACCGTTGCAAGTACCAGTGCAGTCCCCACCAGCAAGAGTACCAGTACATCCACCAGTACCAGTACAGTCACCAGTTCGACCAAGAGTACGAGTATCAGTCCCACGAGTGCCACTACACCCACCAGTTCGACCAAGAGTACGAGTATCGGTCCCACCACCAGTACCAGTGCCACTACACCCACCAGTTCGACCAAGAGTACGAGTATCGGTCCCACCACCAGTACGAGTGCCACTACACCCACCAGTTCGACCAAGAGTACGAGTATCAGTCCTATCACCAGTATGAGTACTAGTACGTCTACCAGTCCGAGTATCCGTGCAATCGCCAGCAAGCGCCCCGTGCAACCGCTAGCAAGCCTCCCATGCAACCGCTAGCAAGCATTTC